GAAAGAGCTTGTAAAATTAGAATAAATAAATATTAGAGATCAATACTAGGAATAATAAATGTTAGAATGGACACTATTAGTTTTATTGTTGAAAACTTATACTACTTTCATTTTATACCATATAGTGTTATTTTGACTAATTATATTTTTATTTATATTCACTACGTTAGAAAATCACACTAGTTTTCATTTTACACATTTCCCATTACATATTTCTAATACGATTCTAATAGTCGAACTGTACTATTTCTTTCTTAAAAAAACGATTGCCAAAAGAAAAAGAAAAAAAGAATATAATAAAAACATAATTGTGTCCTACATAATCCCGTGGAATTAACGCGTTAGGATTACACGTAGGATTTACGAGAAGATTGATTGCTTTGTTGTGAAACGTTTGACACTGCTACGTGACTCTCATCACGACTGAGATGGTCTCATTGTCGGCAATACCATTGATGACCAACTGCCAACGAATTTCGACTAATGTAAGAGAAAGGGAGTTCGGTCAAATAAGCTGGTTCGGTCGTTCAAACACGTTCCTTCCGTGTCGATCTATTCATCTTATTACACGTGACATTGCTTTTAGCGTGACGTGTGCTCTCGTGAATTAACAACGAAGTTCTACAATGTAAATACCCGTCGATTTCCTTCAGTCGAGCGTATCCATTGGCCATTGTGAATGTTTCAGTACACGATAGTTAAGTGCAGTTGCATTTTTGGACGGAAAATTAACAGGTGGAGAAAGAGAGGAGATTTTGTATAGAAGAAAAATTTATACAAATCGATTGAGAAAATTTAAATGCAGTGAAGTGCATGATTGACGTCAGAAATGATTAAATTGATCACGCAATGATAGTTAAGTGCACTTTTGCATTTTGAACACAAAATTAAATAGGAGGGAAAATGAAATAAGGGAAAAATTTTATACAAATTTTGAATAAAGGAAGATTTGTTTGTTTTGTGTAAAATCATGTATATGTAAAGTCATTTGTTTTACATAAAATATTGAATTTATATAGATCTGGAAGATTTCAAAATAATGAGATTTATTTTTTCATGGGTCCAATATCATTGTTCATTTATTTAGTTAGCCTTCTATTTTTGAGAGATAAATTATGAGAAACAATAATACACATTGTTTGATAGCATACCTGCTATTTAATATATACACATAAATATATATATATAATTTTACAATTGTAATTACACTTGCAATTATTTAGCAGTTAATACATACGTACAAGCATGTAAGTTTCCCAATTGAAGCTATTTAGTCAATTGATTAAATACATACACGATTTCTGCAGTCAATAATTTGCAATAATAATTAATTGGTACAGTGTGTAATTAACATGATCGATACATTTAGTAGTTGGACTAAATTTATGATTCTGTAATTAATAGTTGTAATCATTCTTTTCAATTTGTTTCGACAAAATTTCTACGCTTTTTTGATTGGGCTGAGAGCATTTATCTCTGGTAGTGAGAGCTTTGAAACGCATCCGTGGAAAAAAAAACAACGTTCATGAATTGTTGAATTGACAAAGTTACAATAAAAGAAGGTAATATTATGTACTTGTTAGGATTCTCAGAATCTTATTCCAGTCAGTTTGATTCGTCAGATTTGTCTTATATCGTCACGTATATCCACCATTATGGCACGAATGGCTGACAGTTATTTCCAGGACATGTCGTTTCTACGCTCGTTTCGCGTAATTAAAAAACCACTTTAATTATGTGCTTACGGGGAACTAATAACACTGCAAATACCTAAACGAAACGTAAAATTACAATAAAAATTTTTCTGTCGTTTATTATCGTGTTGTGTAAGGTTTTCTCCTACTATTTGCATAACAGTTTATAACTAAAATAGCGGGAAACCACAGAGAAACAGTGCCTCGTAATAACAGTAACAATTTTAATTCTACAATAATAATGAAATCATAATAATGAAATTGTAGAACTGTATAATAATCATAATAATGAATTGTAGAAAGTAGTGAATAATGAACGAATAATCTCAAAACATCCCTTTGTTCAAGGGGGTTGTTGTAAACTTCAATCTTCAACACTGTGATGGTTGTAATTTAGTCATGAACAAAATTTTTCAGTCTCTACAATTTTTTTTTTAAGTTTTCTTTGTGTGTGAATTTTTACAATTTTTTTTTTAAAGAACACTTTTCCATTTACTATATCGAGAAAAAAAAGAAAGAAATTGAGAGCAGTGAGAACAGAAGCTTTGCATTTTAAAATGAGACAATGTTGATTGTTATATGATCTTTTCTTAACGAGTTTTTAATGTTTTTTTTTTTTTATTCAAATTGAGTGTGCTGCAAAACTAGAAAACTGTATTATAGTATATTTATAATATATTCATCATATATTATAGTATATTTCAAATATATTTATATATTATATTATATATATTATAGTATAGTATATTATAGTATATTTCAAATATATTTATATATTATATTATATATATTATAGTATAGTATAGTATATTTATATTATAGTATAGTATATTACAGTATAGTATAGTATAGTATATATATATATATATATATATATATATATATATATATATTTATTATAGTATAGTATAGTATAGTATAGTATATTTATAATATATTTATATATTATAGTATAGTATAGTGTATTTATAATATATTTATATATTATATTATATTATATATATATTATAGTATATAACTATATTAAATATATTTCCACGAAAACTATATTAAATATATTAACTATATTAACTGTGTTCAGCGCGCATTAACAATATACTCGATCACGAAACGATCGGCGAAAATGTTGAAACATGTCAGATTTCTGAAAACAGCGCGAGGAGTTTCTGTTCCTCCCTCTTCTTTCACGGCCGAGACGCTGTTTTTCGCTCTCGGTGAGGCAACGTAATTAACCGGAAAAGTTAAATGGCGCGTTGAAAATCTGCTGCGGGGATCAACGATCTGGAAACGGTCTCTGTGGCGAAGCAACACACGTCGAGCGAAGTTGGTCGACGTTTGCGTCGGTTCCTCGATTTCATCTTGCTTTCCTAGCGTCGATTGCATCCGGTTCGATTACATTCGCCGGTGTAATAACGCTGCTGCGATTACGTGTACCGGCTGGTTCTTCGACCGATACCATAACTGGTTCTTCTTTTTTTTTTTTTTTTTTTTTGGAACCACCAGACGTGAGCTAATCGCTTTATCAACGCTGGAACAATCAAACGTCAATGAACGTCACTGTTTATATTTATATTGTACAGCGTGGAGCAGGACTGTAAGAGACAATGAAAAATTGTCGACAATCGAAACTGACGCATCTTTGTGAAAGTTAGAGATATCATATTGACGATTTGCTCGAACTTTCAAAGCGTGAAGCTTTCATTTTGACAGTCGTGATTTTCTTTCTTTTTTTTTTTTTTTTTTTTTAAGTGATTTTACACCACGTGGCGAATGGAAAAGTGAGGATTCTTTCTTTCTCGAAAATTCGAAGGAGAATTAAAAAATTTTTTTCGTAACTAGATCCACCGTCAGTTTGAAGATGTTGAATGCGTGGCAGTTTGAAGATGTTGCATATGTGCAGAAGCATTAAAAAATTTT